AGCAGCAGTGGGCGGGTGCAAAAGCTAGTTTGCTATTGGCTATTGCAAAGTGAAATAGCCAATAGGAATGTAGCTGTGCATTCCTATGCTGTTTTTTTTTTTCTACAACACTTGCTTCACGTGACTTTTTTACTTTCCTTCCTGTTAAGCTTGTTGTGTTTTATTACTCCACTTCCAAAATATGTTAAACATCAAAACGTACCTTTTATGAAACAGGATTTTATTGTGCAAAATGAGGATATTTATTTCAAGTTTTTATTAGGCAATATGTATAATTTAACATTTTGTCCAAATCATGGATGTTAAACAAAATTCTGGCAAAAATTAGGCCCTCCTTCTCTTCATCATTCGAAGCTATCTTCATCTATTCAGATCAGCTGGCAGACCTGAACTGTTGACAGTAAGCTGCAGGATTGTTCCGTAGATAAAGCCATTTCATTGTCCTATTTCTATGAGCAAGAAAGACATCTTGCATCAATTAAGTCTGCATAGAAATCTCCTTCTTCAGTGTAAACAATATCCAGTGTGTGTATTCGCAGATCTGTCCATGAACTTTTAATAAAATAATCAACACTCATTTTAACTAGGTTATCATAATAATTTGGTTTCAAAACAAAAGAAAACATGAAGGATTGTCTTTATTTTAGTGATCTGTTGTTTTTATGAAATCCATGGGCTATGTACCTGATGGTTTTATTTGTTTTTTAGTCACTTGAAAGCACCCTGGGGGAAATTACATCATGTTTTCCTCTAGGAAAATAACTACCAGGAGAAAAGGACCCAAACAATTACAGTCTGAATATACCAGGAAAGGCCAATGTTCAAAGTAAATTTGGAAACATTTACAATAATAGCAAGAAAATATCATGACATAGTGTAACAAAAGAAATCAAAAAGTAACGTTAGCTCTTCAGTGGAATGTTTACAGATATGATGCTAACAGCTTCAATTAACGAGTGTCCTCAAATGGCTCAGAGCCACTATCTGACAAGGATAGAGCCCTTAAAGATATCCTATAGGATAGGAATAGTTCATTTACAATTTTGCTTAAAGGAGAACTATGGGGTTAGGGCTTTTCCCCATAGTTCTCCTAAGGGTAACGGGAGGACACAAACTAGCGTCCTCCCGTCACCCAAAGCTCAGTATACCGAGAGCTGTAGCTCGCGGTATACTGAGACGACGCAGCCGCAACGGATCCCGACAATTTTGTCTGGATCCACCCATCTGCGTGAGTGACAGCTGGCTCTGCCTATCTAGAGGCAGAGCCAGCTGTACCCGCCCCGTCCGTTCCGCCAGTCAGCGCAGGAGGATCGGACATGGGAGGGGGGAAATCCCTGCAAGGAGCTGTGAGTGACAGTCACGGCTCTCTGCACGGATAGATCGAGAAGTGAGTTCACTTCCCGATCTACTGAGCCGACCCGAAAATCACTCACCTCATAATTCTCCTTTAACAAAGTACTAAATCAAAAGTGTATGGGGCATGGCCAGCTGCTAAAGGAGATAGCGGCTTAGTCCAGGAGCTCTGCTGACCTCGAGCCCTGCAACAACACTAATTTGGCTACACAGCATCCCAGCAGCTGGGATCAGCAACCCTGTAATCTCGCTCTACCAGGACCATGAATAAATTCAGCAAGAATAAAATCTAAGCTTCATAGGTTGACAGATTTCTATAACCCCTGCAATGTCACTCAGGCAGCAAGATGGTGCTGGATCCCTGCAACATGTTTCTTAACTGCTGCATGCTTCTTAAGAGCAGTGAACCAACAAACCACCCGGATCATTCTCTGCCTGACTCCCCTGATGATCAGCTGCATTCCGGGCAGGGTAAGTCATCATCCAGGATTCCCCTACTACCTGGAGCCCAGCCAAAGTTATGAATGGGAGAGAGAAGACTGGGAATGCACAAATAATATCTGCAGATATGACGAGCAGGGCAGAGCAGGGAATACTTGCCTCATCCTCCATAAATACATTTCCAGTATAAAAACAGACTGTCTCTGATTTAAAGAAACACTGTGGCAAACCCTACATCAGGATATGTCTATGATGGTTTCTAACACTGGTGAATACATTCAGGAGTTTGGTGATAGGATTACTTAACTGGAAACTAAAATGTGAGAGTTTTCCCCTGTGCACAATTCCCTGGTAGATGCCTATAATGAGCATGAATTTGTTATTATCTGGCTCAAATCAAAGGTTGCGGATCTGGAAAATCACTCCGGACATAATATATTAAATTCCACGCAATACCTGAAAGTGTCCATAAACCTGAGCTTCCCTCATTCATTCAGCAACTTATACTCCAGCTTTTTCCTGCATTGAAGGCTTCAGATCTCATCATAGATAAAGCACACAGGATCCCTAAACTGAAATTTCTATCTGATGATATTCCCAGAGATATGTAGGTGAAAATACATTTTTACATATTAAATATGCTGCTATGATTACCGCTAGAAAGCTTCCCTCCCTTCTTAGGAGATTTGAGGGCATCACATTGTTGCCGATCTCTCAGCAATAAGCAATAACTAAGTATCTTTGCAACAACAAAACTCTGTATAAATGGGGCTACACTGTGAAACTTCTGATCAGCCGCCAAGGCGGCCTGTTTGATATTTGGCACTGTCAGCATACTATAGAAGGGATTTTTCTTATTATGTGTCTTGTTTCTATCTGAGCAATGGCTATTTAAGACCAAATCTTTCATAGGCAATATCACTTGGTCGAAGCATACATAAATCTCAGTTGAAATACCTGACAGACAGGTAAATGCCTCCACCAGAGTGTGGACCCTGAATATCTATCTCCTCAACCTCCTTTGATACTACACTCAAGATTTAAATTCCTTTAAGGAATATTTCCTATTCAAAGATAGGGAGGATATATATAATTTTAGTTTGCAGAATGCCCACACAGCCTATATGAGAGGCGCATTTCTAAAACCAACTTAACAGTCTGGCAAATAAAAAGGAGGACTGCTTAATTTATTGTGTTGACAAAGAAAATTGCTGAACTGGAAGTTCTGAATAAAATAAAGCCTGAGCCCCTGGTATCATCACAATTTGCTCATAAACGCATTTAAAAATGGATCATTACTCACCACACAACAATTTATTATCTAAACACAAGAGGTTTGGGGCTCCCTCAACTGTATTTATACTATCAGGCTGCTCTTCTTGATCAAATAAATTATTGGTGGACTGGTGGTATGGATAAATTATGTTTGTCCCTCAAGACACGGCCCTAAAACTAAGGCTTAACCTCCTAGCTCATAGACAAGAGGCAAAACTCCCACACCCTCCATTTGATTCCCCCATCTTTCAGGCCACACTCGCAACTTGGAAGTTGGCTAACTTGTGTCGTCTTTCTCACAGACCTATGCTGACTGTCCTCTCAGACCATTTCATTGCTTATACTTCTTTATTCCACACATAAATCAGTGGTGGATCCAGTGCTCCAGATGACAACCAGATGTCTCTAAACTCAACATCTTCAGATGGGGCACTTCATCCTCAGTGCAGCTCAGTAACACTGAATCGGATAAAACCACAGGCTCAGCATTACCGAGCTCTCTGTCTGGCCACTGTGACTATGTTTGATGGTTGATGTGTGTTTGAAAAATATGGAGAATATTTACTGGGCTGTTAGATAGGGGTCTATCCAAGAGGCATCACTACAGACAAGTGGGTTGGATAAAAGTTATAGTTATAGTAGCAATAACTATAATATATTTTATATTATGACAAAATGCTCTTGCACACAATTACTCTATAATGCTAATTCAAACTTCTTTAAACTTTTGTTTTTTTTAAACGTTTTTGTTAAACTACAAATGTTTACGTTTTTGTTGAATTACACACCTCAGCTTTCCCTTCAGGAGAAACTCTTAGATTTTTTAACTGTATTAGGTATACAGGGTCAATTCCCGTCTGTAGCAGAATCTACTTCTAAGACAGATAAGTAAATGCTTCTGTGACTAGCAAAGATCCTGAAGTATGATTTCAGCCCTCCTATACCGGAAGCTTTCAAGTTTTGTTTCCTTAACAGCCTCCCTAATGGGGCTCCCCTCCTATCCCAAGCCCACTAGCAGCTGTATGGGCTGTTATGGCTATTGTTACACCACTGTTCCACTTACATTTTTTAGTGGCTTATAAGACTGGTCTGGTATTCTAAGTCTGGAAGCTAAGAGTTCTGGGTTTATTCCCCTTAATGTAAATGTTTTAATTTTTTGCAACATGGGTGAGGCAGAAATTTAGCCTGGATTGTATAGCTACAAGCTAGGACTTATTGACAGCTGAGGGGGTCATGTTACATTTATCGAGAATTGGCATATTCAGGCTCTAAGGGGCAAAACCAGGCCTTCCATATTTTTGTTTACAGGGGGAGGATTCTTGAATGAGAAAGCCTCTCTGGACTATCTTGTGGGCCTGCCAGGATGTCAATGAGGATTCTACCAAGTTAAGATATTATTTCATGATCAGTGTGTTGGTTTTGAGTTGCAAATCTGGTTATAAATAGTCTCTAAAGCACCATTAAAACTAATTGAAGCTGATTGTAATTGAAACTGATTCATGATCTGACCAGGTAATTTGGTGTATGGTCACAGGGATTTGAGGACAGAGGTAAGACGTGAGCAACACAATAAAAGTAATTGATAGTAGGAGTAACAATTGTAATATTATAATGCAGTTCTGATTATTGAGTAATGTTCTAAGCATATGATTATGATCTTTATGTTTCTTTTGGGATTAGGACCCTACAGCAAGTGAAACAGATACAATCATATTGTAATCATAATCCTAAAACATACTGCAGGGAATTTATCAAAGCAATTGCGACAGTTTTAGCCTCTTGTGCATAAGTTTGTTCTTGCTACATGATGAGTCCTATTCCAAATTAACAGGAACATGTTTGTAGGCTCCCACCACTCATTGCATAAATGCTCTGGCTGGAATATAAACCAATCACAGTATAACCTTGGATTCTTCTTATGTAAAAATGTCCTAAGAAAATCCCAGCATTCGAATGAACTGCCTACCAAAAGCATTTTTAACATCTTGATTTTTCAATGTGTATATAATAGGGTTTAACATTGGTGAAACAACACTATAAAGAACTGAAATCAATCTGTCTTTGGTCATAGAGTATGTAGAAATTGGTCTCACGTAACTAAAGATAACACTACCAAAGAATATCACCACCACTGTAAGATGAGAACCACATGTAGAAAATGCCTTCTGTCTTCCTTCAGTGGATGTCATCTTGATTATGGTTACGATAATATATATGTAAGACACAATGATGCAAAAGAAAGGTGTCCAGCCTATAAATACCCCAATAGACAAAAGAAGCTTCTCATTAACGGAAGTACTTTCACATGCAATAGAAAGTATTGGGGGTATATCACAATAAAAATAATTGATTTTGTTGGACTCACAAAATTGTAGACGAAATGTGAAGACAGTATGAACTACTGAATTCAACAATCCACTCACCCAAGACACAGCTGCAAGAGCGATGCAGTTTTTGTGGGTCATATAAGATGAGTATCTCAAAGGGATACATATTGCTAGAAAACGGTCATAGGACATTACTGCAAGGAGAACACACTCGGTGCCTACAAGGGCAATAAATATGTACATTTGAACTATACACCCCAGGAATGTAATGGATCCTTTTTCTGCCAAGAGTAATTGCAACATTTTGGGCATAGTGGTTGAAGTATAACAGATGTCCAGGAAGGATAAATTCCCCAAAAAATAGTACATTGGCATATGAAGACTTGTATCCAACTTTGACACCGAAATAATTGCAACATTTCCAAACAGAGTTAATAAGTAGATTAAAAGTATTGCACAAAACAGAACACCTTTTAAATTAGGTTGGTCTGTTAATGGAAGAATAATGAAATCTTTGAACAATGTCTGATTTGTGTTCATTATGCTCATTCTGAGATTAAATTTTTGATCTGCAAACATATAAGAGCAATCAATACATATTTCCAGTGCATAGCTAGAATATAGTTAACTTTTCTTTTAAATATGTATTCTCTTAATTAGCATGACAACTCAGTATGGTGTACAATTGCAGCAAATCAGTAAACATCTCTTATCTAATCTGATTATTTTAAATGGAATTAGGATTGTTATTTGATAATGACATCATATTTTATTATCAGCCTTGTATTGATCTAAATATTCACCTTTATAACAAGTTTGTCCATATCTAATATATCACTTTTTTATCTGCTTTATACTATAGGTAAATATTTTACCTGTTCTCATGAATTACAAACATATATTTTCATAACTGGAATCTTCTGCAGTTTCTTACCTTTCATATCACAGATCAGATCACAAAAAAATAAAAGTTAAATTGCATTTTAGTATTTCACATATAATTTTAGTATTTCAGTTTGAATGTACTGTATATAGTGTTTAGCGGTATATCCCTTATGTGTTACCACATCCAAGTGATAGATATATAAATAGATAGAAAGATGTTTTTCAAGTATTTCAAATCTTGCAGAAACAATGTTATCCCAGCACAAAACCAGAAGAAAAATGTGTTTGAGAGAATCTTGGTATGTACCTACCTGAGATGATAATGCAATTTATAAATCTTTATAAATTCAGTTCAATGAGCTATGTCCTCTTTATGTGTTTTACATGCAGTCTGTGCAATATATAAGATTTTATAGAAACAGCTTTTTAACATCACCATATTAAGAAAGCACCAGAGAAAATAAACCATTTTTAGTAAACTAATTAAGTGGCACTTGTGAGATATTACCATACTCCTGGGCTTTTGATGTTAAAATACTCTTGGGTTTCTGCAATTGACTACTACAGTTTGATTGTGTACAAAACATTTGCTTAGAATTGGGTGACATTAAGTAAAAACAAGTTAAAATGTTAGAAAAATAAGTTTAGAATGTTAGTCCTGTTATCAGAAAACAAATTTAGTTTGGACAGTCATTCAGCATATCTGACAGTTCCATACACATTTCGGTTTAGGTTTGCCCTTGTCCAACATTGCCTACAACCTTCGACTCTTGTTGTGACTGTAGAAAGGTAAGCAGAGTAAATAAGAAGAAGTTAATTATTGAAAAATTCAGGCAGCCATCATTTTCATGCAGCCATCACAGTGCTAGGAGGACAAGTTCCTTCCTCTGAATCTAAAAAGTACTTTGATTATACATACAACTACTGTATATTGTAACATCTAAAGACCAGAGTTATGCACACCACAACTCTAAGCTTCCCTTTAAAAGGAGAACTATGGGGTTAAGGCTTTTCCCCATAGTTCCCCTTAGGGTAACGGGAGGACACAAACTAGCATCCTCCCGTCACCCTAAGCTCAGTATACCGCGAGCTGTAGCTCGCGGTATACTGAGACGCCGCAGCTGAAGCGGATCCTGACAATTATGCTGGGATCCGCCCAGCTGCGTGAGTGACCGCTGGCTCTGCCTACCTAGAGGCAGAGCCAGCTGTACCCGCCCCCTCCCCGTCCGATCCGCCAGTCATCACTGGCGGATCGTAGCAGGGAGGGGGGAATCCAGCCCCTCCCCTGTCACGGCAGAGAGCTGTGACAGGATCGAGAGGTGAGCGAACACCGGTATGTGTTCGCTCACCTCCCGATCTACTGAGCCGACCTGTGACAGTCTCATTGTCACAGGTCAGCTAGAACTATGAGGTGAGTGAAAAGCGCTCACCTCATAGTTCTACTTTAAGGAGACAAAACAAATCAAAATGTTAGTTTCCTGCAATAGCAGATGTAGTATACTCACCTCTCCACTGGCTCCTGTCTTCTACAGACTCTTTGATATTTAACACTGCTGGGAGTGTTAGAGGCCCTAGTACCTTGCCACTCAGTGTGGTTTCATCATCCAACCTCTTCATCACTACCAAACCTGCAATGTGGGAGGAAGGATAAAAAAAGTAAAAACAGACATTTCCTTCTTCATCCAAAGCTTTAAAAGAAATGTTTTGCCTGGAGATCAACTTTTCCAGACCTTAGGAGGAGGCTTTAGCAAGAATAGTTTGGATTTCATGACTTCCATCATCCAATCATGTCCAAGCAAAAATCCTGTTTTTTCCCCCCCCTTGTATGTGTATCCCCTATGGGAGTTGCTACAAAATCAGCTATAACTCTGCTTGTGTTAAATGACACTGTGCAGCCTGTGATAGAGATAGACTTGTGGGAGTTGCAGTGCAGAGTCTGGGACAAGCTGTGCTGTGAGAGACTGTTTATGCGACAATTCCCAGGAGGCTGTGCTTTGAGCAGGAGGGGTGATTTGGGCTGGAGTTTCTGAGCGCACTCAGTCTGGGAAAGACAGCAAAGTGTACATATCTATGTGGCTGCCGCTGACGCAGAGGAGCAATAGACTTTGTATAGGCCTGTCTAGGGGAGTGCGAGCGGACTGGAGAATATCCCGGTAGAGAGACTTCTGTGTGCTCTGCAATCAGTGTCATTTGGATGTTCGCTTCTGTGAGGCGCAGTCTAACCTACACAGCGGGGATATCGTGGCCTGGACGAACGGCTGTGCCTGGTCAGTGAGAGTACGGTAGAGGCCTAGTAATCCAAGGGAGGCCCAGAGGCGTTTGCAGAGAGTGTTCTTCAGCATCTGCCTGTGACAGGAGATCATCTTCAAAGGTACAGCGAACAACACAAGGACCAACAAGGGAGTCGGCTTGAGAGAAAGGGGACGCCCGTCTCTTGCTGACAGATATCACAGCTGCAGGATTGACTCTGGAAGTGGTGAGAGACCTTTGGCCATTTGTGCATTTCTACAATTCACTTTAGCAACACAGTATGGGCCCCAACGATGGCTAGCCTAGACTATTGCTACTGGCCAGTAGTATATATAGAGAGCCGGAAATTATTTAAGACATTAGCAATCAGGTCTTCAAAGTCAAAAGTACCAATTGAGATAGTTCAGCACTGTATATTTTAGTATATAGATAGCCGCAGCTGCTGCGTGACCCAATATGTATTGCTGAATGTTGTTTCTTCCAATTATTGTGTTTCCTTCATTCAATGCTTAACTAGAATATGCTATTTACCTAGTAAAACTATTACAAAACTCCCTAAGGTGTGTTGGTGTAATGTGGATCCTGTTTGGACGGTACATTCTGGCTTGGGGACAGAAATACTCAGGTTATTCTGGTGGCTCCTTTGGGGGTGAGTGCTACACATGTGATTGGGTATTCTTTGCAAAGTGAATTTTCACCACAGACAGATACCGTATACACTTTTTGGTTAATATAGAGTTAGACAGAAAGTTAGGCTTGATTAGGTTCAGTCTCAAGGATTAGGGAGTTACCTTTAAAAATAAGTGCATTTGCCCCGATCTCCATGACCATCACACTCCCCATTTGCTCCTCCCGCTCTAGTGTATGGAAACTGAATCCTTCCCCACTGGGGGAACCTAAAAATGTTGCTTTGATCCAGAGTAAGCTCCATGAATTCTTTTCACTGAACAACGGCACTTGTTCTTCACCGCTGGAAGGCCCATAAGAGCGTTATTAGAGGGGAATTTATACGTCTCCAAGCCCTCATACACAAACGAAAAAAAAGTCTGCAGTGCCTCTTTACTTGCCCGCATAGCCACTCTAGAGGGACTTCACAAACGATCCTTGACATTGTCTTATCTGTCGGAATTGACCCAAGCGCGCAATGACCTCCTTCAGCTTCTCCACAAAAATACCAAAAAGGCTTTTATATCCGATAGCAAAATATATTATGAACATAGCAACAAAGCAGGTACATTTCTAGAAAGAGCCCTGAAGCGCCAAATGGCTTCCCGCACAGTCTCCCAGATTGTGTATGCAACGGGCACTAAACATTTGGATACGTCAAATATAGCGTCACGATTCCAAACCTTTTATGAACAACTTTACGGTATTGCCACTCCGAATCCCTCCACCTCTGCTCAAAATGCTAGATCAAAACTCATCAATTCCTTCTTGTTGACACATAGTCCCCCTTCTTTATGCGAGCCAACCAGAGCAGACTTAGAAGCTGCCTTCACATCTCAAGAGGTTATGAGGGCGATTTCACAACTAAAACCGGGGAAAAGCCCTGGCCCGGACGGTTTTACGTCCCACTATTACAAAACGTTCTCGGAGCACCTTATCCCTCCCTTTCTGTCGGCCTCCGATATAACTCCTAAGCAACCTCATGACTCGGTCCATCTTTTGGAAGCACACATCGTCGTGCTGCCAAAGCCAGGAAAAGATGACTCGTTATGTGCAAACTATCGCCCCATATCCCTTCTTAACATTGACATTAAACTACATGCAAAAATACTTGCCAATCGCCTAGCCACTCTTCTCTCCGACATAATTGACGGTGACCAGACAGGCTTTGTTCCCGGAAGGGAAGCACGTGACAACACCACCAAAGCGATAGGCCTTCATCACTGGATCAAAAGCAAGGGCCATGCAGGTTTCTTCTTATACACCGACGCAGAGAAGGCCTTCGATAGGGTGGCGTGGGATTACCTTTTTGCATCTTTGAGCCACCTTGGCCCCCGTATGCTGGACCGCATAGCCCTGTTATACCATAAACCTACCGCAAAGATTCGTGTGAACGGCTCACTGTCAGAGACCTTTCCCATATATAACGGTACGAGGCAGGGATGCCCGCTTTCACCACTGCTCTTTGTGCTGGCTCTGAAGCCCTTCCTCCGGAGAATCCGCTCTGATCCCAGCATACATGGGTTTCCTACGCCTTACAAGGAATTTAAAGTAGCTGCATTCGCGGACGACTTGCTATTTTTCTTGACACAACCGAGGATATCACTTCCTAACCTTCTGGGTGCTTTCCAGGAATTTGCGGCGATATCATTCTCCAAAATTAACCTTTCTAAATCTGCCGCGCTCAACGTCTCCCTTCCCGGCGAGATGGTCCAATTTAGCAAATCCCACTTTCACTTTAGCTGGGCGGATTAATCCATTACATATCTCGGGATTGAACTCCCCACCGACCCTCCGAAACTCTATTACCTAAATTTTGCCACCCAACTTTCCCGGCTGCGATTAGACATGAAGGAATGGAACAAAATGCTATTCTCCTGGTTTGGACGTGCAACCATCCTTAAAATGACTGCTATGCCTAGACTGTTATATCTGTTCCAAACTGTGCCCATTTCTCTCCCCAAAGCCTTCTTTTCCTCAGCTAATGCGCTGTTTCGTACCTTCCTCTGGAATGATAGGTCTCCGCGGATTGTGTTCTCGACCCTAACCCGATCAAAATCTTCTGGGGGTATAGATCTTCCCCATGTGCACAATTACCGTGTTTCCCCGAAAATAAGACAGTGTCTTATTTTTTTTTTTTTTGCACGAAATAAGACACTATATCGGGCTTGCCACCTATCCTGCATCATAGACTGGGCTCGATAGGGCCCCTATAAGGAATGGGTCCGGATCGAACAACTTCTATCAAAACCACCAATCGGCTCTTGACCCCACGCTCTTTACTCCTGCTAGTGCTAGCTCACCCCACTGTGGGTACTTCTCTGCGTCTCTTCGACTTGATGTGTAGAAACACTGACATTTCCTCTATCCTCAGTCCTATCACCCCGGTTCGAATGAACCCTGCCTTTCCCCCAGGCCCCTACTCCTAATTTTTACACTGTTGGTCCCCCAATGCAGCCCCAACCGCAAGGTTGTAATAGCCAGGGGGGGGTTTCGGTCCTTGGCTGACCTAAATTCCGAGCCCCAAGCTGGACCTCTGCCATTTTGGACCCACATGCAGCTTCGCCATTTCCTTAATGCTCAACACATTAGACAACACTTTGTACGCCCTCTCACCCCCTTTGAAAAGCTCTGCACATATGATATATCCACCACCTTTACCCCACAAGACTTGGAAAGGATGGACATACTTTTGCTAACAGGCTCTTTGAATGTTCAAATTCAGGAAACGGACTATAAATTGCGGTCAAAGTGGTACAAAACCCCTGCAATACTTCACTGCATCTTCCCAGACACGCCTAATACCTGCTGGCGATGCTCCCAGGAAGTAGGTACATTTCTCCACATCTGGTGGTCGTGCCCTCTCATATCCTCCTTTTGGACAGAGATCCACTCTCTCATAAGAGTCATAACTGGTGTGTCACTGGAATTCTCTGCAGTCTCCCTCTTACTGTACCACTTTGATGTCTCCTACCACATCACTAAGAAGTCCCTGGTACTGCACCTGCTAAATGCAGCTAAAACAGTTATCCCCAGACACTGGAAGGCGACCCACCACCGACTGTCAGAGAGTGACTAGTGTGAGTGGACACAGTGGCAAAGATGGAGGAACTAATCTCCTGTGATAAGGAAACCATGCCTCGATACCTGAAAACTTGGGCGGCCTGGCACTTACTCAAAGATACGGACACGTACGCCCCCCTCTCCCCTGGTGCTCCGCCCCCTTTCTACCCACTTCCGCTGCTCAAGGCTTTGTTCTTTGACCTTATCTTCCTCTCACACGCATTGTGTCTCTCACTGTCTTTTCAGTTCTACAGGAAGCGGGCAGGAATGTTTCTCACGCTCTGTCCCCCTCTAAAATCTAACCTTCTCTGGCTCTCTCCTTCTTTCTCCCTAACCTTCTTCTGTCTTTCCTGCCCTCCTTCCCCTCTGATTCTTTCTTTTCCCCCAGCTCCCTAAGAGCTCTGAATGTACTCCCTCTTTTTCCTCCGCTTTCACATTAGGCTCTCTTCCTAGAACAAGCCCTGGCACACATACACAGTAATAAGCATGTTATTAAGCCTCCAGCATAGCCATAGGCGGATATCCTCCTTGGCCCTGAGTTCACCCACTTCAAGGGATGTTCATGCAACTTTTTAGCAACGCCTGGGCTTACATGCCATGTAAGCCCCACACTCGCCTCTCAAGGTTACATATTTGGACAGGCTTGCTGTGCAATGTGAACAGGGCCCTTCTTTATCATGAACACCGCGGCTTGTTCCATGGAACTCCCTTTCCCCACCCCCTCTTATGGTTTTGACTTTACTATGTGTATGTTTCACTATTCCATTGTATTTGGTTACCGCATGAATGTTTGACATTTATAAATCACAATTAAAAATGTACTTGTGAAAAAAATAAATAAAATAATACATGCATTTTCACATACACTGTACTTATCCATTCTGTTACCTACCAACCTAAAGTATCCTAACATTCCTTCCCCATATGTATTTACATACCAAGCCAAAAGACAGCTCTAAAGAAATCTGTGAAATATAGTACAGAGGTCAGGGTGTCACGCACAGTACAGAGGTCAGTATGCAGTGTAGAGGTCAGGGTGTGATGCACAGTGCAGAGGTCAGGGTGTGACACACAGTGCAGAGGTCAGCGAGTTACGCACAGTGCAGATGTCAGGGTGTGACGCAGAGTACAGAGGTCATGGTGTGACACACAGTACAGAGATCCGGGTGTGACACATAGTACAGAGGTCAGGGTGGCATGCACAGTACAGAGTAGGGATGCACAGATACTATTCGAGTACCAGTGCAGATACCTTGCATTTTCATGAGAACTACCAGGGTTGCAACGGTTGCAGCTGGGACCTGGCTCTGGCACTCCACCACTGTCCTGAAATCATTAGTCTGTATTGTTTTAGAAAAACTGTCACATGACAATGAACAAAAAT